AACGAAAATGGTACGGCAAGGGTTAAAGACGGAGCAGGGAAATTGTCAGAAGAATTTGGAAATACAGTAAAAATTCTCCCTAATTTTAGGAGAACAAAATTTTTTAAATATAAATTTTTATTTTATAAATTCCCAAATTGGGACAGAACGGTAAATTTTCTCTAATTTTCCTTCAGCTTGCGAACAAAAACAGACAATTCTCAATCAACAAATCAACAATTATAAAAACGAGGCGCAGGTCTCGAATCTCCTCCCTATAAATCATTTATTTCTGTCTACAAGCAGAAGAGGAAAATTACAGAAAATTTACCGTCCCGTCTCAATATTCACGCCCGACAATATTTCGTCCAAGGAATGCAAAGAAGCTTCGAGATCGGCTAAAACAACCGGAAGAACTTCGTCGTAAAACAGTGGTTGTCGATAGTATCGGAATAAAAACAATAACAGATGCGCGAAGGCAACGCTCGTTCGATTCAGCGGCAGCCGATAAACTGTGAATAGGTGTGTGCGAGGAGGGAATCGGGTGAAACAACGCCGACGAAATTATTTAAAAGGCTTTTGGGTACCGTGTGCCGATGTATTGGGTTGGCAACTAAGTAATTGCCGATTTCGGTTATAGATGTCTTTCACTCCCATTTTTATGATATCCGTAAATGTTATATTATAAAATTATTATTATTATTATTATTATGTTACTTTTTGTTGTCCGTGAATGTTCGTATTTTTGGCAAATAAATTCGAGCGGCACGTGTAAAAGTGATCGTACAAATATTGTAACATTTGAAAAGTTTACGGGAACGCGTCGTTTTACGCTTGTACAGGCGTTCGGGACAAAAACCATAACTTCTGAGCTAATCGATTTTCGACGGAAATGCCTCGATAATTTGTCAAAGAAAATACAAAAATGCATCGAATTTGCGTAACCAAAATGATACGATTTCATAGAAAATATTGTCGTCGCCTTTATCTCTTATCGAATAAAACTTTTACTAACTTTTACGCAGATTTTCGTTAACACGATTTATCGTTAGTCGATTTATCGTCAATCCAAGATATTTTCATTAATTTTGCCTTCGTGCCTGAAAATTCGTAGCGATCGTTTCGCACACGCGGGCCACATATACGATCATATATGGCTACATATTTTGTTAAATAACTTCGAAGGCCGCAACTTTTCGCAAAAGAAGTTTATACAGTATCAAAACATACTATCCGATGAACAATGTCGGAGTAGAAATCCCAGGATATTCTGAGCCGTTTCTCTTGAAACCTTATCGGAAGTTCAGTAAAATAAATCGGACTTGATTATTTCATTTCGGATCGATTATGGCAAAGTCGAGATGGCAAAAGGTCGTCGAACAAAATGGAAAATACATCACAGATTAAACTTCGTTCCAAGAAAAAAAAAATTTTTTATTTCATCGAACAAATCGGCAATTACTTAGTTGCCACCGCAATATAAAATTTCTGGGCTCGCCGAATTCGCGGGTTCGAGTCCCGTCGAGAGCTTGTAATGCGCCCGATAGGTTCGCCGGATATAGCGAAATAAATGGCCTGGACGTTTCATATTCGAATGACTGTTCGCTTCCGAGCGGATCTCGCGTTTCCGGGAAAATTGATTGACAATGACGAAAAAATTCCATCCCGGGGGCAGGAGCGTGCCCATTGATCGTGGGCTCCGATTACGTCGGAGGGAGATTCCGTGGGTGGTGTACGGGGGCCGAGGTGGAGCCAAGGGCGAACAGCGAAAAGCGAAGGGCTTTGGCACAGATTTATGTGCAGGGGGCGGCCGCGGCTGGAGTCGAAGGGATGGTTCAGGGCTCGCGTTCTTCCTGGCCCTGTAATCGATGAAAGCCTGAAAGCTATGACTCACTCGCGGGGTTTCAATAAGCCGAGAGGAAGCATCGTGCTTGTTCTTTAATCGAACGGCAACGTTTCTTGCGATTCTCGGCCGAGTTCGTCCGATTCACGACGAACGCTCCCGAGGAAGACTCTCCGTTTTGATCGCGAATTGTTGGAAAAGTCGAAATAGCGGGACTCGCGAGAGAACTTCTAATCTCTAATTCTACTTCAAACTCCCGGGAAACTAATTGCTAATTAATTGCTTCGGATAGCTGCACTCTCTCTCTGTCTCTCTTTGTTCGCGTAACAGAGCTGCAGGAATTACAATCGTGGGCGGACGCGCGAATTCTTCGGTACAGAATCTTTCGCATCGCGGGGCAGGATCTCTTTTATCAGATTCGCCCCGAGGTGTCTAATTGAGATGGTAATTAGTCCGAGACACCGCTGACCCCGTGGTCCGCCGAGATTCGAGGATCTTTGCGGAGGTAATTAGGAAGTTTGATGGTTCGAGGAGCCAATTTTGGAAAGAATGTTTGCAGTAATGTATGGGATTCGAACGAATTGTTGGCAAAAGTGCGAATCAAACAGCTGCTTGTATTTATGTAGAAGGTGTCTAATCAGGCACTGATAATAGTGAATTCAGATAATGATACTTATTACTAATAATTTCAGGCAATAATATCAATCAAGTGTAATAAGTAGGTTGCTGATTTTGTTCGCAAAATATAAATTGTCTGCATCAATTGCAAGAAATAGAAACTAAATAAATATATATAAATAATAATACTTATTACTAACAATTGCAGACAATAATATCAATCAAGTGTAATCAGTAGACTTGCTGATTTTGTTTGCAAAATATAAACTGTCTGCATCAATTGCAAGAAATAGAAACTAAATAAAAAGTTCATTCTTTCTTCTGAAATAATTTTATTAGATTGGGAATGACACAGTGACATTTGACAATTCTTTCAATCTCTCTTAAATTGAAACTACTCATTTTTATCGTGAATGCATCAAATCCGCAGTCTAGTGATCAGGAAAAGACAGCAGTGTGATATATACGAGTCAATAGATCCTTCAGTAGAGTAAACTGAATATGGACAGACATTGACAAATGTTGCAGTAATGTGAAACCTGTGCGATCGAGCGAAAATAGACACAGAAATTGATAATGACACGAATGCAAACTCGACGAAGAACTGACAATGGCAACTTCAGAAATGATTGCAACAGTAGTATGAATCGTATGCGATCGTGCACTGGCAAAAATGAGTGCGGAAAGAAGTGTACAATAAATCCATCCTAATTAAAATTCTCCCTTGCAAACAAAAATGGACTTTAGAAATGACAGTAGCATCAATCGTATGCGATCTCGTATGCGAAAAGAAGAATATTATAATGAATATAATAATATAATTTAATATAATTTCTCCCTAAGTTTCCTTTAGCTTTTTAAACAAAAATGGACAATTTGGAAAGAGGAAAGCCTCGTTTTCATAAATTGTCGACAATCGGCAACTATAAAAATGAGCCACGAGGCACAATCGCATCTCCTCTTCTCAGATTCTCCACTTTTGCTTACGAGCTGATGAAAAATTGGAGAGAATTTACAGTACTTCCAGTAGCACGAATCGTAGATCATCGGGCAACGATGCCAGCAGCGATAATAATTTTTGCAGCAACGCGAGCTTTCCGCGATCCGATGTCGAACGGTAAACCCTCGTGCATAGAATTGCGCTACTTCGGCGGCGCATCTCGTGTGCAGAGTGCATCAGTAGTCCCGGCCAGTGCTTACTCCGGCAACAGCACAATAGTTCTGGTTGCGTGTGTTCGGACAAACACAAGCGGATCGTCGCGGCGCGCGGAGCCCTCGCACTTTCGCCGGGTCGTTATCTTTCTAATCAGGCCGCTCTCCGGTCATTTTCAGCACGCACGATAATCTCGTCGAATGTTCGGCTCGTTTCCCGCATCGCCTCGACGAGCCTAAATCTTCCGATTCGAGGTATAGAGCACGGGTCTCTCATTCGCGGCATGTATCGCCGTCATTATCGCGCTCCCCAGCGACGTGCTTTCTACAACCGACGTTCCACGAATATTTGGCAAACAATTTCGACATTGTTTCCCATCCACTTGGCCCGCTGGTAAATGGAACAGGCTCCCGGGATATTAGTCTGATATTCCGGGGAACAGAGACAAGCCGGTTTCGGTGTAGCATCGTTCCTCGCGGACAGAGCCTACGACTTTCCGCGAGGAGCAATTTTCGCGAGGCCACTTTGCTCCTCGAACCGTTCATCGTTGAACACACGTTCGCTCTACAGACGGTAAACTCTGTTAAAAGAACGAAGACCGAGCCGCTGGGCTGCAACGTGAACCTTTATAGAGCAGGTATATGTTCGCTTCGTACTAAAACTGAATCACCGAAGCGCAATTTACTCGATTTATAACGAAAAAGCGGCGTGTGCTGCTTTCAAAGACACTTTAGAGGCTAATGGATTCGATAACATGTTCCAATCAAGCAATATAAATATATAAAACTCGATCGCGGCTTGTAAGCGAAAACCGAGCGCCAGTTTAGTCAACGACGAAAATTCGAAGGAAATATCTGGACTGCGGATCTTTATGCGAAATAAAAATTATCCTCGACGGACGATACAAACGGTTGTACAAAATAGAAGTCGAAGAAAGATGTATTCCTTCTTTCGACGCTGTCAATGCAGCGACAGCGATGCGACAGTACAGTAATGTCTCTCTAATTGATGCTCGAATTGTCCACGAAAATGGACAATTTGGGACGAGGAGATACGAATATTCGAGCTTTTAGGATCGTTTTTATGGTCATTGGTTCTCAACAATTATAAAAACGGGTTACAAGGCTCGAGCAATTGTATCTCCTCTTCCCAAATTGTCCACTTTTTTGCGCAATCTGAGCGTCGGTTAGGAAGACATTACTGTATTCGCAGATTCTTCTCGCGTCTTCGCCGTTCTCTGTTTCGTTTACCAACTTTTAGCTTAAAATCCGCGGTCTAAATATAAGCACGTATTATATTTACAGCCTACTCTCTTTCTTCGAGGACAAAGTTAGCCGCGCGTCTCGTCGGCGCGCGTATCCTCTAAAAGTCCTTAAGAATCCTTAAAACAGGTCGACGAAGTCTTACCGAGAACGCTTTGAGGAACACGAGGCACTGTATAATGCCTTCCATGGTGTCCCCGGTCAGGCAGAAGGTGCCAGTGAGGTGACGACCCTTCCTACCGACCACGGAGCAAAGGTTAGCCTGAACGAACGCGTTCGGCGACCTGGTGACCGCCATCAGGGCAGGCTGGTGCAATCCTGCGCTCATCAGCCGCTCCAGAGAGTCCATGTCTCTCTCTGGACCGGGCGGCGCGTTCTTCCGAATCTTCCGATCCCCGCTTTGGCTCTTCTCTCGAACACCTCGAAAACTCCTCTTCGCTCCGAACAATCCGTCTCTAACGAAACCCTCGGCAGGAAGAAGCGGAACGACAACAACAACAACAACAACAACAGATACTTAACCGTGCGAGAATTCGAACACCGGCGAACAGTGGCACATTAGGGTCAATCACTGAAACCAGGCGAGACTGTCAAGGTCGCGAAACACTGTCGCGAAACGAACGAGGAGAACTGTCCGGCTCGAGCGGCGTTACTCGATCCGCGGAACGTTCTGACGGCGTAGTGTCAGGTCGGGCCCAAGAACGGAGCGCATCGTCGTGCAGTTCCAAGGACGACAGTCGTCCGCAGCGACGCCACGTGGAGACTGCCAGCGGGTCTCTCGATCCCAGCTCAACGTCTCTTGGCGAACTCGGGACTTCTTTTCGTGTCGAGATCCCGGCGACATCCGGGGATCATCGATCGCCGTCGTGTTGCCGTGCATCCGCGCGGAACCGGAGCTCGTCGCTGCAGCGTAAACAGACGCGTAGAGGAGGGCACAGTAGCTGTGGCCTGACGAACGAACCGACGTCGATTCGGATGGGCAAACGCAGCTCACTGGTAGCGCGAGCAACGCGAGACCGACACCGGCACGCACGGCCGGCAAGCTTCTCCGTGTCTCGTTCCGCTCGTATCCGCTCGAACGCGCATCTTCCCGCGGTGCACGAGGTCCGGTGCGAGCGTCGTCTCCCAGACGAGCGTCGTCGCGCTACATCAATCGGGATCGCGTCGATCGCATCGATTAGGGGCCGGTTTGCCGGGCGATCCTCTCTCGCTCTCTCTATCGCGTTCGCGTCGTCTCGCTATCGATCCGGCCTGGTACACGCTCCATCATGTTCGGTACATTTGTCGGGCACAATTCCGGCCCCGATCGCCGTCAGGGCCGTTCCCCCCGCCTACCGATGGGTGCCGGTCGCGCTCTGTCTGACGGATGCCTGCCGACTCTATTAGGATCCTAATGTCATGCTGATTCGTGTAAACGTCGCTGGGTGCTCGGCCGCTCTGCCGATGTTCCTCGCGCTGTCCGTCACTCGATCGGATTAATCCTCGCGCTCGGCCGACGCGACGCAATCCCGCATTCCTTTGGGACCGCCGGGAATTTAGGCTAATACCGACGCTGCCGAATCTTTTGAGGGATGACTCGACTTTCCGCCTCGGCTCGCTAGTAGCGGCGCGATCAAGTCGGCACGCGTTGATTACGCGTCCCGCGACGCTTCTGCGATCGATTCCGACGATGCCCGACGCTGTTTTCGATCTGTTCCAGCCTACACAGTGGTCCGGGTGCCCCGGTGAATTCAATTCGAGGCGACGGATTCGAAGGAACACGTTCGATTCGACCCGCGTTCGGCACGCTTTAAGATCTCGTCGCTCGTCCGGCACGCGAGCAGCGGCAGCAGACGAATGTTTGTAAACTCCCAAAGCCGATTGCGACGTCGTCGACGAGGTCTTTTCACTTCTTCGAGGCTCCTTGAACGATCCAACTTCTTCGGGTCGCCCGAACGGCCGAGCTGTCACCGAAGAATCCTCGCGAAGCTGCCTCACTCGGCGAAACTGTTCCTCCTCGCTTCGTTAACGGGAACGTGTCGGCTAATCGTCGAGCGTCGCTCCGTGTCGCGAGCTGGCTCTCCTCAGGGTAATCCGGCCGGAATCAGCTGACACGTACGTGTCTTCGTGGCGGCGGCTCGCTCCTTAGACAGCGATCCCCGCGCGTCAGAAGTTGACGGATCGCTCTCGTCCGGCGTCTCGCTCGGAGTTCCGGTTCCACGGGAGAGAGAAAGAGAGAGAGAGAGAGAGAGAGAGACCGTGTGTGTGTCGGCTGAGGCAGATGATCCCAGGCTTACTGCGGGCAACAGGCTGGACGGTTCTGCATCCTGTGGGAGATCGAGAACACGCGTTGCGAAGGCGGTGCTGCGGAAGTTTCGAGCGAGCGGCGCGGCTCGGCCGTTTGCGGTGTGGCGTAACGCCTGATCAGATCGCACACCTCGTAGCACAGGAAGAAGATGCCCATTATCAGGAACGTATCCATATTCGTACGGGTCGCCGTACCCGGCGCCGAAAGTATCCGGCTCGCTCGCTGCGTATCGTTCTCCTCGTCGCCGCGAACGATCGTTTCAGTGGGCCAAACGGCGCGACATCTTCGTCGGCGACGCTGCTCGCCTTTTAGCGAGCCGTTTCAGCCAGCTCCGCGAGCCACCGAGCGACCGAGATTCCCCGCGGTAGGGTCGCCCAGAGAGAGACAGAGAGAGAGAGAGAGAGAGAGAGAGAGAGAGAGAGAGGCTCGATATCAACGGGGCAGACTGCTGTCAGGTGCACACCTCGCGTGGCAGCGCGTCGATTGACGGCGGACCGCAGAAGCGCGGACGTGGTTCGACGAGCCGAAGCTGGTTCGCCGACGCGGCACACGTCGACGGGGAGAGCCTTCTGCCGGGTGTCCCGACGACAGTGACGTCGGGCTAACGAGAACCGGGGGACTACGTCAAAGGCGGATCGGACGCGGACGATGATTTTAACGTCTGCGCGCGTCTCGCCGAAGGCCACGTCGAAGGCAGCGTCGCGCGGTCATTGCACGGCGGCGAAGGGGTAAAGGACGCGGCACGGGGGCCGGGTCGACGTGTTTCGACGAGCGTGTCGACGGCGTTTCAGCTCGCTCGCGGGGCTCGCACCGTCTGCGGGGAGGGAGGTGGTGCCACGGGGAGCAAAACACAGACCATGTGAGCGACGACGACGACGACGACGCACTGCCTCGAGGAGGGATTTTGCTCGGCCGATCCTCTGCCTGACTCGGCGTGCGCGACTCGGCCGCGAGCCGCTCGCGTGTTTACAACACTCGCGCCCCTCGGCGACGCGGTTTTTCCGCCGGCGTCTTTCGGGGAAGGCCGCCGATTATTCCGCTGCCCCGCCTCCGTTCCGTTGCGGCTCCGTTGCGTTACGTTGCGTTCCGTTTCACTGGCTTTATGGTCGCGGGCACACGTCGCTCCGAGGACAAACGTGAAGGACGAACTGGGTCAACGCACTGGCACACGCAGTCGTCGCGATCAAAGCGTGCACACGGAGCAGCGGGCGCGCGAGCGTGCGAGAGAGGCGCGGTATATCGGCGGGCTCGCAACGGGCCAGCGTATGACTACCAGATACTCTCGGCGTGAGGGTGCGCCTTTATGAGGGTGGGCGGGTGGAAACGAGGGATGCTGGGCGACGGCGCGGCCCGCGGCGCCACCCCCAGCTACCCCCCTCCTCTGCCCGGAAAATCCACCAACCTACTCCGTCGCCCTTTCCCCACCGCCCTTCCTTCGCCCCGCTCCGCTCTGCTCTTCTCTGCTCTTCTCTTCTCTGCTCTTCTCTTCGCTTCTCTTCGCGTCTCTTCCACACCGTTCCATCCTGCATTCTAGCTCCGTCCCGATCTACTTCGCGTCCGTCTTCTTCGACTGACGCTCAGCCCCGCTCGAGCCAACCCCTCGTCGTTTACACTGACTCTACCGGCACAGCCGGCCACCCACGTCTTATTCTTCATCGTCCTCGCGGCTCCTTTCCCTCTGCTCATCTTCTCGCAACGTCGCGATCCCTCTGCGATCGCCCGGATGCCACACGGTGGTGGTTTAAGACCAGGCAATCATTTTCCTGAATGATAAGTGTACACGGTTCCACGGACGAATTATTACCGAGACAGACGAGCCTCGAACTTCAGGCAAGTTTTCCGTACGTTTCAGGTCGTTGCTCTTCTCTCTCTCTCTCTCTCTCTCTCTCTCTCTCTCTCTCTCTTGAATTGTTAACGTTCCGCGCCGGCGGACGCAGGATCCCGCGAGATTCAGGAGTTAAAGTTGCTTACCTTTTTGCAACTGTTACGCGTGAGTAAGGTACGCTTTACCTTCTCTTTTCGTTTGTAATGCATGATTGTATATTTAATAGTTGTTTGATTTACTTCTCGTAAGTAATTTAGTACAGATTATAATGGACAACGGTTTGAACGACGTTTTGAAACGATATCACTGTTGAGTCGCGTTTGACTCTGTGTTCGATGTGCGTATCAGGATGTCCACTGTTTAAGGGTTAATTCGACTCGTATGTGTGCCATGTACCGCGTGTTTTACAATATTTTGGATAATTTAGTGCAGATTATAATGAAAAACGGTTTGAACAACGTTTCGAAATAATAAAATATCACTATATAAATATAAATATCACTGTTGAAATATATATATTTATATAGTGATATTTTATTATATATATAATAATTATATAATAATAATAATATATATATATATATATATATATATATATATATATATATATATATATATATTACGTCCACTGTCCAAGGGTTAACCCTTTGCACTCGAAGCTATTTTAACTGTAAATATAAAATCATTTTTCTAACTTATAGTGTTTTCATTTTATACAGCAAAATGGATTTTACGCATATGAAATTGACTCTTGGGAGTCACGCAACAATTACACCCTTAACAGTTCTTTAAACCTAAATTTTGTGGATATAAAAATTACTTCAAAACGTGATAAAACAAATTTTAGTGATGCCTCAGAGTCGCCACTCGAATGCAAAGGATTAATTCGACTCGTACGTGTACCATGTACCGCGTGTTTTACAATATTTTGGATCGATTTGAAAGTTCGTATGGACGCGTGTCCTGTTCGAGCTGGCTCCAAGGTTGCGGTCACTTTTCATTTTAAAACCAAAATCGATGACAGTTCATGTTGGTGAGATGACGCGTGAAACGATCATTCCAGATTTATAGAGCTTATAAAGCTAATAAAGCTTTGAATGTTCGTTTGACCTAGGACTGTGTTTCCAATAAACGCGCGAAAGTGAAAATCACTACCAAAATCGTGCAATCGCGTTTCATACGAATATGTACTTCGATTGATTTCATTCGACGCGTTTAAGAAATTTATGGAGCACTAAAATTGGATTCACGCAAAATGCGAGCATCGCGTTGCTAGCAAATGCATCATGGACCGTTAAAATAGCTACTGATAGGTATTAAAAGCGAACGTCGGGTTCGAGCACCGGCTCCGAAAGATCGAGGCACACGTTGAAACTGATAAAAAGGCATCGACATATGAATTCATATAATTGATATTGCGGAACATTTTATTCGAATAATTCGTAGGTCCGTGGAGAGGACGATAAAACTGATCGAATTTACGAAGCGATTCCACAGTCGACTACGACGATCGATGAATATCGCGATAATATTCAAGTGCGCGAGTAACGAGTTCTCCGTGCCTCGACTCGCGTCGGAGAGTACGTTAACGCCTTTTCAAACGGAATAACTCTTTCAAAGTTGGTCCAAACGATTTGACATTTCTTTGAGATGCTGCACCGATTAGTTTTCTACAGAACAATTATGCAACAATTTTGTTTAGATTGCAATCGATGGGATGATACAGATACAATCGTTGATCTTTCACAGATACAACGTTGGTTAGCACTTCTTCTCGTTGCTGACGAATTCCTACATGAAAAATTAAATTTATATTTATTCGATGTTAACTTTTAGCAAGCGTAACGGTTAGCCCTCAGCATGTCGATAACAGCAGAGTGGAGCAGTGTATATCGATCTAACCGTAGGCCAACTGAGCTGGGTTTATTTCGACCCGAATTGTCCACGTGACTCGGAGGCTTATCAATGACCGAGTCTGCAATAAAATGTCCAACAAAATTAACGCATCTGTTGCTCTTTCTTTTCACTCATTCATTACGATATAATATCGTTTTTTTTTTTTAGGGGGAAAATTACCGAATCCGTGTGAGCTAATGAATCGAAATGATTTTCATTGATATAGTAGACTATCAGTATAGATTCTGTGATCGGAGTGACCACGACAAATTCTATCCAATTGTCGCTCAGCTTGTAAACACGTTTTCATAGTTGTCGACAGTCGATAACTATAAAAACGAGCCGCAAGGTTTTTATAATGATATAATGTGTAATAATCGTACATATAATCGTAATATATAATAATAACTATATATTATATAATAATCGTATAATATATAATAATATATAATATATAGTATAGTATAGTATAATTAGTATATATTATATTATATATTAGTATATTATAATTAGTATATTAGTATACTATTAGTATAGTATAGTATAATATATATATAAATAATTAATATACAGAGTATCCCACAATTATGATACTTCCGGCAAATGAGGGATTCCTGAGGTGATTCGAAGCAACTTTCTCCTTTACAAAAGTTTTCTCCGAGGCATCGTTCACGAGTTATCGACGAAAAACCCTGACCAATGAGGGGCGAGCGCGGCTGGCGCGTGGCGGCCGAGCCAACGAGCGATCGAAGCCCAGTTCCGCTCATTGGCTCGGCCGTCTCGCGCCAGCCGATCTCGCCTCCCATTGGTCACCGTTTTTCGTTAATAACTCGTAAACGAAGCCGCGGATCGCAATTTCGCTGAGGAAAAAGTTACTTCGAATCACCTCGGGAACCCCTCATTTCCCGGAAGTACCGTAATTCTGGAACACCCTGTACAATAATTCGTATCTCCTCTTCCCAAATCGTCCAATTTTCTGCACAATCCGAGCGTCGATCAGAGAGAATTTACTGTATAGAAATAAACTGCTGAACGCTAATCAAACGCGTCGAACAGCGATGCGAACGAAATTCGAGGCGTTCAATGCCCGCGAAGCGAAAATAGGAGAAACTTCCGAGAAACCGGCGTCTTTTTTCGCGAGCGTGAACCAACATTGCGGCGAGGAAATCGAATCGGCAGACAAGGTTCGTTAGGCGGTGTACTTTCCCGGCGTCTTAGGTAACTCGCCGGCGTATCAATTTCGGCGAGTGCAGCGAGATATTACATCACAGCCGGCGCCATTACGAAATAGAAAGTCTCTGGAATATGTTGGCCGCGAATTCCCCGCGTTATTTCCCCCGGTCCGCCGATCGGACTCGCTCGCTTCCCTCTTTGTACCCTTTGTCCCGGTCGGCCGGCCACGCTTCATGCCGCTTCGAGAGATCCTCCTGCTTTTCGCGCTTATGCTCCGCCAGCCAGGAACGACAGGAACGTACTACTTTCCTACCCTTCTCCCTCGTCGGCCCCGCGTGCCCCCGGTTCCTTTGCTCTACTAGTTTTCTTTTATTCGAGCTAACCCCCGGTTCCGCGTTTTCCGCCCTTAACCATTTTTCTTCGGCCGCCGCGTCTCTGCCACGCGTACCGGAGTTCTACCCGAAAAATCCATCAAGAATCGAGGCGGCCGAGTCCCTTTTTCGGTCCCCGGGATACCTGTTGTTACGTCGTTATTACTCTCTGCCAGCCGTGTCAAGAAATAGCACGAAGAGGACTTTTAACTCTTTAAAAGTAATGTTTCTCTAATTGACGCTCAGATTGGTCACAGAAATTCAGGGCAATTCGGGAAGAGGAGATGCGATTATTCGAGCATTGCGGTTTGCTTTTATAATCATGAATTGTCGACGATTATAAAAACGAGCTGCAAGGCTCGAATAATCGTGTCTCCTCTTCCCGAATTGTCCATTTTTGTGCGCGATCTGAGCGTCAGTAAGGGAGACACTTAGTTTCGAAAGCGACGCGAGCGTAGCGAGTTGCTGTTTCCAGATTGAACGATGGAACAGAATTTGGGCATTATTATTATTATTATTATTATTATTATTATTATTGTTGTTGTTATTATTATTATTCAAAGTCGAATATTTGATTCGAATACCATCACTCGTAACAAATTATTCGATCTATTTATTCGAATAACAGTGCCAGCAATCGTCGACCGTTCTTGACGTAATTTTTTAAGCATATACGTGTTGCAAATATGAATCCTGAAATTTACGATGACTTCTGTATCCGAGGAAAAATTATTTAGTTATGCGTGAACGATCGATCTATCCAAAAGTAACAAATTTTCCGACGAAGCAGTCGAGGAAAGAGTTAATTGTAAAAATAGGCACGGAAGAAATCGATCGATAAATGTAATATTTCTTCGAATTGATAATTTTTCCAATTAATTTCTGTACAAATGGATTCTTATATATATTCGAATGAATTTTGACTCGAACGAAATCTTATTCGGATAACTTTCGTTATCTAGATAAATTTTTTTTCCTTTCTACATTTATACGATAAT